TTGAATTTCACACACAGGATGGAGACAGCGCTGCTAAAAATAGTGAATAATATCTTACTTGACATGAATCATCAACATGTGTCCTTGCTCATACTGCTCAATTTAAGTGCAGCCTTTGGTACGGTGGACCATACCATCCTCCTACGCCGCCTAGAGACTTTGTTTGGAATCACTGGGGATGCACTCAAATGGTTTGCTTTCTACTATTGTCAGATCGCTCTCAGTGTGTTGTGGTTGATGGGGAGACAGATTTTATCTATCATATTTTGGTGTTCCCAAGGGGCCATGTCTGGGACCGTTACTCTTTTCTGTGTATGCAAGTAAGCTGTTTGATGTTATCAAGAACCATCTTTCAAATATTCAAACATACGCAGATGATTCTCAACTCTACTTATCATTCCAGCCAGACTGTTCTGTGGGTGAGACTGAGGTGAGATCTGAAATGAAATATAAGTTAGTCATAATGAATGGTATCAGCAACCACAGCCTGCTGTAATAATCAGATTGCCCTTTTCCTTTTTGCAAAGCCAATGGTATACTAATGATAAACCTTCCATTACCATTATTGTATGATTGTAATAGCACAACGGCAGGTCAAGTGGGGCAGGCGATGAATTGGGTGATAAAGATAAGAATAAAGGGTGTTATGTGAAGTCTATCTAGGAAACAGTCACCCCCAACCCAACTTAAAATCATTCTGGATCCACCACTGTACCAGACGGGGGCTGGTGAGATGCTGCAGTGGGATCTGACAAATGTTTTTGAATGAGTTCAATGGTTGGATCTCAAATTCTTCTCAGAGAATTAGGTCACACTTTTAAGGCTTTTATGCAGCCTTAGTACAATATTTATGTCATCATATACAACAACAGTAAAATKATAGTGAAGAAAATGATTTTGATAAGGATTAACACAAATTTGCAATTTTTTTAAATTGTATTTTACCAGCTGCGACACGTGCGGGCTTTGTACTATTTCTATTGATCGCTCCAAACTCCGCAGTCCATGATCCAATGCGCGTCATTGCTTCTTGTTGATTAGTTCCAGGCGTCCCCTTCGCGTCAAAGGCAAGTGTCGGTTGGCTGTTTGAAGCTACTGCCTTTCGATTTTTAGCGTTAAATCTGATCAAAAATGCCCAGAAAACGCAAGCACTCTGATGAAGAAGATGATGGAGAAGCACTTGAGGCAGAAAACGGGGTGCGTGGAAAGAGAAAAGCGGCGATGGAAGCGCGCGCTAAAGCAAAAGTAGTGGCCCGTGACGATAGTGACGAAGGAGAAGAGGAAGACCACGAAGAAGAGGAAGAAGACGACGGCGATGACGAGGATTTTGAAGGAGAAGCAGACGAAGATGATGATGAAGCTGAGAATTCTTCTAAAGAACATGGTGAAGAAGCGGAGAATGATGAAGACGATGAAAACGAAGTCGACGAGGACGACGAGGATGTCGATGCAGATGCCATCAAAGTAGACTGCATTAAAGCAGAACTTGAAGAACCTTCTAAAGGTAATTCTTGCTTTATAAGCCGCGACATTTATAAAAAATATTTTTCCTTTTTAAAACAAGGCTTGGCTTTGGTATTGTAAAGTTGTGTTAGAACGTGGCAAGCTTCTGATCCTTTTATATAAGCTTAATTCCATGCCAGTTGTTCTGACACCTGACAGCACAAAAGAACCCTCGATAAATAACTTAACATGTAAGCTTAATGTGATACTTAAAAAATTCCATCTCGAAATCAGTTATTTGCTTGATTTTGTCGATTAAATTAGCTACTTAGTAGTGTAAGACAGATTTGCAGGGCTCTACAGATTTAATATTTAGCTTACGATCCGTTATGTTCAGTGGGTAATACATTTGCTTCACGACACGTGCTCTCGATCACAACAAGCTAAATTGTGTGTGTATTTATGAATGATGGCTTTCTTCTTTGTGATTTAACGGATAACTTTCTCGGATTATGAAAACGGATTCTTCTTTATTAGATTGAATATAAAATTGAGAAAAGATGTGATTGCCAACGAAGTTGGCTAACATTTAAGAGTTTTGAGTTTGATACGGAAGTGCGTCATTTCTTTTGTTCTAAACAGGTTTTCATAGTCGATTACACCCCATAATGTATGGTACTGCATTTTAAAAACCTGTTTTTTTTGTGTAAAGTGTATTTTCAATAGTTCTCTTTATATTGTGGCACAACAAAGTGGCTGATGAAAACAACTCGGCAATCAATAATTGATCGTTAAGAACATTAACTTTCAATGTGCTGAGAAAATTTCTCATTCGATTGACATCAATTACCAGAAATACCCATTTTCCTCACTTTCAAAACACACCCTTTTTCAACTTCATCACTTCTCTGGCACATTCAGATTCCCAAACAAAAACTAGTTTCTTGATGGCAGAAGAGAATCCACTCTAAAATGCTTGTAGACATGGTGGGAAGTGGTGATTGGGATGGCGGGGAAGTGTTGACAGGGAGGGGGGGGACGAACCTCCAATCTATCTAAAGAATTGGGCAAGAAATGCAATATCCTGTCAAAAATTGGTCAAAACTGCAAACCCCTTTGTATGTTACAAGTGTAAGAAAGGTGAATTATGGATTGATTATACGTTACTTAATTTTGCTTTGCTGCTTTCTGTGTGTTGTAGATATAGCAGGCTATGTTCTCAAGAAAGCTGAGAAAGAAAATCAAAAACTAGAAATGTGGTTTTCAGAGGAGATGAGTGAGACAATAGGAGACATAACTGAGGCTTTCAGCTCTCACTATGAAAACAAAAAATTGCCTGTCTTACAAGTAACAAAATTTGATGTCATTGAGGAAACAAATGAAATCTACCAGGTGAGACATTCATGTGCATGTACAACCATTTTGAGGAAAAATCTAAAAGCCCTATTTCACTATGACATCATATAGAGCTTTTTACAAGGGGGACAGAATGCAAAAGAATCATAAGAATTTAGACTAATTTTACTCTGCAGCTGAATTAATAACTCTGGTATGTCTGGTTTTCAATTCTATAAACCAATGTTTATTGTATTATTGCTGTTTTAAGTTTAAATTTTTGTTTGCATATATTCTTTGTGTTATTGCTGTTTTGTCCCCATCCCAAGACCATTTTCCTTTGCATTAAAGTGAAAATCCTTGTATGGTGACTCGCCATTTCAAAACTTGATTTGGATTTTGGTCTTTTCTGAGTCATCAATCTTATTGGATTTATGCAAATGAGTCTACGAACACAATTTCTCAGCTATGTCGGCCATCAACGCATGTTTTTTTGAAAATCTAAAATGAATCGGTGATAATCCAAGGAATTGCGATGAAGAGTTGTTTTTCATTTTTTTCTTTTTATTAAAGGCATACTTGTAGTTTATCCTTATAAAACTGAGAATCAAGTCAGCTGCAATACTTATCATGAGCAAAACGTTTTTAATTGTTAACAGAAGTGGACTAGGTAAGGTTAAATATTTTGAGTTGTTTGCTTTTGTAAGCAAATTTTAAAGTGATTAAGACAGTCATTTATAAATTACTAATAAAAAATGTCTCAATCTTTGAGAAACTAAATGCTTGGGCTACAAATTTCAAGGCTTTGTAAACTCACCGCTCCAAGGCTTCTCACCTTTCCTGGTTTTTGCCTATATTCAATTGATTGACAAGTCTTCTCTTAACTTACAAACTACTCTTCATACCAACTTCTTGAAACATTCTTGAGTTATTTTAGATTTTTGAATAAAAGTGTTGATGGCCTATGCTGAGTGAGTGTGTTCATAGATAGAGATATAGAAATATAGATAAGTTATAGTGCTTGCGAACGAGGTTATTCCGGGCGAAAGCCCTTGGAATTAAATTCGAAAAAATTAATTTCCGACCTCGCTGGGAATTTAACCCACGACCTTCGGAACTGTATTACCGATGCTCTACCAGCTGAGCTAGAGGTCAGACTGAGAGCAGGCTGGGGTGAAATAGATGTTAGGTAGCGGTAATTATGATGCAAAGATGAGAATATGTGGACCGCATGGCACTAATACTTATCTATATTTCTATATCTTCATGTATTTCATTAGTGCCATGCGGTCCACATATTCTCATGTTCATAGATAGCATAAACAAAAGATTCGGAAAAGTTCTGAAAAGACCAGAATCCAATAAAGTTTTGAAACGGCAGGTTACGATACGATTTTTGATTGTGACTTTAAAATAAAATATAAAAAACATACTTATGATTAGACATCAAACTTATAATTAATAACATCATTATCATATAATATTTTCATACTTATATGACAGATGAGCAAAAATTGAGCAAAAACTTTGTTTTTAATTAGATTGATGTACTTGAGGCAAAGTATGATAAGGCCTACAGCATACGAGTTAAAGAGCAAGATACTGATAACACCAATCTGGCACACGACTTGTACTGTCTAGTACGAGTTGATGGTACAAAGAAGACATGGGCTACACAGTACTTTATGCCTGAAGAAGACTGACCCATTTTGTTTGCTTTTTCTTCGTTCAATATCTGTAGACTTAAAGTTTAGTACTTACTAAATGTATTTGTAATTGAACATCTTTGTCTTTTTAAAAGACTGCTCTTTTTTGATCTCTTTATTCACCAGTTAGCAATTGATCCTTTTTGTAAATGATATTTTGTAACAGCAGAGTTATTTGTTTATTCTGTAACTTTCTTTTGTACAATAAAGTAGAACTAATCCTTAATTTATTATTTTTACATTTTACTTCGTACGAATATATGTCAAATTGAGGAAGATTAATATGGTGAAATGAGTTGCTGATCGTGGCAACGAAAAGACAAAAAACGCAAGCACGAAAAACTCCTCAATGCTAACAAAAAGGCTGCAGCAGTGTTTTATCGGGTATACACGAGGTGCAGCTGAGTGGTTTTAGACSCAATAAAACATGATCTGACCGAATTCTTTACAAAATGAACCAAGTTTGATAGAGAAAATCCAAGTTCAAGTTTATGCAAATGACTTAAAATTACAGAACACACTTTAATCTATTTCAACAGGATAACAAAAAAGCTTCTATAATCTTAACAGAGGAATACAATACTGCCACTATTGGTTCATGGGCCTTTATTAGTTTTAACTGATTCTTTTAACTGCTATTACACATCTTTTCAGAGCAATAACTTTTGGAAAGTTGTTGCAAATAAGCTATTTTGCCAAACATTGGCATGTAGTAAGAAGATAAAAGAAGCATAGAAATCTCAGTAGAAGTTGTTGGGTCTTGTATTTGATTTTGCAATCGCTTTAAGAGACAGTAAAGAAAAAGAAAGGGTGACTATTTTAAGGAGTACACAAAGTGCAAAGCAACGTGTTTTATTCCAAAACTGAAACTAAGTTAGTACTTTGTCTCGATAACAGATAAGGGTTCATACTTTTAAGATGAAAATATTCATTTTCTTTTTATCATCTATCAAAACCAGCTATTGATAATCATTACTAATAATTAGGTTTGGCCTCCTAAACCCAATCCCTACCTCCTCGTCATGGTAACAGGTAAAGCTGGCTAACAGGGTTCTGGCAATGTGCATTGGGCTAGCAACCCTATCATATATTACTTATTGCTACGGAAACTAACACAAAGGATAATCATATCAACTGAGTTTGAAGTCCTTGATGCCTATGTGCCACACAGGCATAGAAAATAATGATGATGATGATACTTAGCTCTAAAAATGTCTTTCTTTTTTTCTAATTTATAGATCTGTATGCCTTCATTGTGTCTTCATTTTACTTGATTCTATCAGTTCCTTGACAACTGGTGTTCTTTACTTGTTAATGGCACATACCGAACACCCATTAAATGCTTCCTTGTGATGCTTCCATCTTCATTCTTGTCAATTTGTTCAAGCCATTGATCACCATGGGATGGCCCGACAGGGATGAAAAGCCTGCCTCCTGGCTTAAGTTGTTTAATTAGTGGCTCTGGGACAGGATGTGCTGCTGCTCCAACATGGATAGCATCATATGGACCATCTAGATTCAATAAATCTAATCAGTCATATATTAACTAGATAAAAGGATGCAGTGCATCATCTATTAACTAATGCCAGACAGTCTGTCGGCCTAGGAAGTCAAGCTAGTATATTTGCACTATTTTATTCTGAATCTTTTAAAAATTTAATGATTGGAAACATGAATATTCATTTCAATCTATGAATATTCCATTTGAACATATTTTGTAGGTTAGTAAAAAATGTGTGAAGTTTGTTGACTGTAAATAAAACATCTATTACAAGCTAACATGAAGGATGAGTTTGCATATATATGCGTATGTGTGTGTGTGTTTTATTTTAATTTTTACTACATTTATGTTGGCTGCTATGAATTAAAGCACAAATACCAAATTGTTTTGAGATATTGCATGCTGTAAAACAGTCTGACATTGATAAGGATTTTTTGATATCTATCTTATATAAATCTAGTGATATATTTGTACCTGATTCATGTCCCTCTCTACCATCTCCTACTACCAAGATCACTCTCTTCTCCTCTAGTAGATCTGCATTGCCTTTACCAATATTTTCCCTGGACATTTCAACAAGCTCTGGAATGTGATCAATCCCCACAACTTTGCCAGTTTTACCAGTCATCATTGCCATTGCTGCTGTAAGATACCCACTTCCTGGAATTAATGAAATTGTTTGTTTTCAAAACAATTAAAAAATAAAAATAAAATATAAAATAAATGGGATTTAGCAGTGGCATTTCTACAGAGTGGTTCTTCATCCACTGTAATGAAGAAATAGAAAACGCAAGCACGTGCTGTGTGCTGTCATAAAGCACGTGGGGATTGGCACACGAGAGAACACGAGGCAACACGAGAGAAGTGTTAGGAGAAGCATGATGCGTAGCGGAAAACCATCATAGCACAGAAGAGAACTAACAAACATGAACTCTACTCACATACAACACCAAGCTCAGTGCATGGGACTCGAACCCGGGTTGCATTGGTGAGAGGCAAGCGCTCACACCGCTACGCCACCTGTGCTTCCCAATTATTACCTTGCCATCAATTTGAGCCATTTTTCTAACAGCTTTTCCCTTCCACCCTGGCAGGGCATTTGGTTTAAAGAATTCCATTCTCTAACTCAATATATACCCTGGCATCTATAAATATGCAGAATATTTGGTATAAATTGGAATAATGCATAATTCCATGGTGCACAGCTATTTCAAAAAACGTTGGTGAATCAAAAATCAAAACTTTTGTGGCATGTTGCATACCAAGCTCAAAATGCACCATGGGCAATGTGAACTTGATCAGTAAAAGCTCACAATGGATGAAATTTTCCTAAACTTTGTCTGCATGTTTTTCTGACTGTGCTTGCTAGTATACTAAATGTATATGTTACTAATAGATGTAATGTTGTGTGCAACAAGTTTCTGAGGTAGTCACATGCTGCAACAGTCCTGTTGCATTCAATGTTGCATCGTGCCATACCTTAATGGACCACAAATTTCATTGCATTTCCCATATTCTGGGAACTCAGTAATTGCAAGCTGACGTAGAAATTTGGTTTTTCGCTGCTGTCAATCAAAAATAATCAGTCGGTACCTTTTATACACCCTTCTCATAATGGCTGATGAACGCATGGAAACGAGGTCACCCAGTCATCTTGCAAGGTTGAGCCAAGCTGCTCATTCAAAATAAAGGCTGTTAGCGGTAATTCAGACCAAAACAAAGGTAATCTTTTTATACTTTTCTTCTTTGAAGTCATTTCATGTAATTTCATATCTTTTATTGTGAAATAATGACTGGGTGATCTCGTTTTCGTGCACTTGTCAGCCATTGTGAGAACGGTGTATGTTCTTGACTGGCAGCAGTAAAAAACCAAATTCACAACAAAATCATTGAAATGTTTGTTTCACCAAACCCAATTCATAAATTATTCACAAATCACGCAGAAGAATCACGCATAACAGAAAACCTGGATTTCACGAATTACGCTACGTTTCTCTCTTTTCGCACATCACACATTCATTGCCAGCCTTACATATACCACCAGTGTACATTAAGAAATGAGCAGATATACACAAGATACCTGATCCAACATCCAGTGCAGAGGCTCCTTCAACTAGTTTGTCTTTCAACATCTCCAAGGCATGAGCATGCATATGTGGGGCACTGATTGTAATACCAAAGCCAATGTACTGAGGAGAGTCCTGATAAGGATGATTTGTACAGAAGTTTCCGCGGTCTACTTTCCTCATTGCCGACTCTACTTCCTCTGATTTGATGATCTTTCCTTTTTTTAGTTGAGCAACGAGGTCATCGTTGTTAACTCCATGTGAAAACCACTCCATTCCCGTACTTGAAATAGATTCTTCTTCTGTTGTTGGGATTTCTGTGCCTTCAGTCAAATGTTCTGCAGATGCTGGATTTTCTTTCTTTGGACAATTGCTGTCTTTTGCTGTGCAATATTCTTCTGATGCTCTGGTAACAGTAAATCCGTAATAAGTAAGAAACACAAATACCACGCAGCTTATAGTGAACGAATTACTCCCAAAAGTCAGAGAAATGTGCATTATATGAAAAGATGCACGTCCAAAACACCTATTTCGTTGTCCCTCGTCTAAATAAACTTGCGCGAACTTAGGACGACTACTACTCGATTTCTTTCCGAAGACTCCGCGAAAAATTGCCGAGGGTTTATTGATAGACCCGACATAGATGACATGACTTGACATGACTCTTTTACTTTGACATGCATGAAATGACTAGGATAGCACTTGCTTTATATGGTTTACTGTATATACAGCTAGTAATTTTTCCCTGATGTTATCATGGCTGGCCTTGGTTAATAGACTTACTTTTGAGCTAGTGGCTAACGATAGGTTTTCGTAATGAAAAAAGCCAATATGAATGAAGTCACCACAGAACCGACTGGAACGGGTATGAAGCTAACCATCCAAATGATAAGAACTAGATTTCCTTCAGTAGCACAAATGAAAACTGAAGAACTAGATAGTTTAATGAAGAGTATTGAAGCTGGGAACACAAACCAGGCACTGATTCTACTGGTAAGTTTTAGGGGAACTATAAAAACCACAGGAAGCCCGGCTAATTGCTGGTGTCAAAATCAAAAGAATAAACATTTGATGCAACTATTGCTAGTTTGCAATAATTCTCAAGAGAGTGAAATAACAAAAGATACGGCAGCCATGTTGGTTGATATAACAAATTAATTCATTGACAAGTGTTGTTAAAATCAACCAAGATGGCAGCTATGATATCCCGACATAAAATTTGAATTCCATTGAACGCAATCACATAATGGGATTTGATAACAAAATCGAATGCTAAAAAAGTTGTGAATTCGATTGCATTCAATTTCAATCAAACGTAATTAAATGTACAATCAAATGTTCGATTGTGTTCCATTGCCTCAATGTTTTGTGAATTCGATTTCATTTGATTGCCAAACGCAATAGAATCCACTCATTTGACTTGATTAGATGGATTGATTGTTCAACTTTGTTTGATTGATTACACAGGGTTATAATCATTTCATCTGCTTTCATTAACACAGGATGTACGTAGTGAACAGGAATTTAAAGTCAGCTGCTTACCTAATGCTATTTCAATAAATCCCAACATCAGTGATATGGCCTTAGTTTTAGCACAAATAAACTCTCAAGGTATTGCTTCTTTTGAATACTGTCAGGGCTTAAAATAAAAACTGTTGAGTCACTGGTCATCACAAGCCATATTACTTTTGTCTTGGTCATACTCATTTTTAGCCCAGCATTAATGGTCAAAATGACTTGTAAGGCTAAGGTTTGACCAGACAAATGTCAATTATTCTGGCTGGATATTTTCTAATGACCAGCCTTTTCATTAATTCCTGTACTGTGCAGAGTGTTATAACATGTCATGTTGCATTATTACCAATTCCATCTTGTAGGCCGCCCCCTCCCCCTATACACCATTCTCATAATGGCTGAAAAGGGCACGAAAACGAGGTCACCCTCAGTCATTAGCTCACAATACAAGATATAAAAGTACATTAAATGAGTTTATAAGAGAAAAGTGTAAAATTTAACTCTTGTTTTGATCTGTATTCACATTATTCACCTTTATTCTGAATGAGCAGCCTTGCTCAGCCTTGCAAGATGACTGGGTGACCTCATTTTTGTGCACTTGTCAGCCATTATGAGAAGGGTGTATGCATATTACATTGTTGCCATTGTGTTAACAAGTTTAGTTGCTTTGCATTTCAGTGTCAAACCTTGAAGACAAGAAGACTGTGGTTGCATATTGTTCAGTGGGATATAGGTCAAGTAGCTTGATACAAAATTTGGTCAGTGAACTAGCCAAACCAGAATATAATGATTACAGACATTCTATTGACCTCTACAATCTTGAGGGCTCGATTTTCAAATGGGCAAATGAAAAAAGAGTTATCGTTTCCCACAATAATTCTATTGCCACATCTGTTCACCCATATAATTATATTTGGGGAAGATTGCTTAATCATGAGTTACAAAGCTATGAACCAAAAATATAAGGATGATTAAGAATCAAACACGTCAATTCTTTGAATCATCACTTTTTGATGAGGAGGGGTGGTAAGATTTGGTTGGTAACCCACACAAGAAATCTGATGCTACCTCTCTGTTGAAGCATAAAATATAGCTCTTTACTTCTTATTCATTTTGGTTTATTGTGATAGTGCTCAGTGTTTCACATTTTTCTCTTGAGCCTGATTTTCTTAATGACCCTCATCCCCCAAATCCCACTGACCCCACCCCTGTAAAACATGAACATGAATCGATAGATATGATATATCTAATCCCATGTCGTTCCAAAATGGCCTGGGCTGGGCCAGGCCTGACAAGGATTGTTTTGGGAGACAGAAAATATATCTCAATGATCATATGAGTGCAGTTGCAGATTGAGGATGTTTTTAGACAGGAGCAGTTTGTATCTGAATTGGTGAATAAACAAAAATTTTTATAGGGGGTTAGTACCCCCCATACCTGGATGATCTGTTGCCATTCTGATGAATTTAATAGTAGGGATCTTAAGCTGCAGGACGGCAATGACGACGGCAACTGCAACCATACAATAGCACTATTTGTGCTATTCAATAGACGCTGGTTGGATTGTATGAAACACTGTGCAACATTGCCGTCTTGTGCTGAAAGTAGGGGGTGAAATGTCCTTGCCTTATGTATTAAAGTGAACGGTACGCCAAAAGCTTATCTTTGCTGACTTTCATCATATAAGTAAAGCATTCCCAAAACACATCATTTCACTAGCCTGCGTAGCGGTCCAAAAATGGGAAGGGAAGGGAAGGGGTCCCCCTCCCCTTCCTCTCTCCAGTCTCCAATCTCCTTCCCTTTGGCTACATTTCACAGGTAGCCCAAGCTTGGTTTCTGTGGTGTCATGTCATAAGGAAATTTATGAGGATTCTTCAAAAATTTCATTAAAATCACTGAAACGTGAAATAAAGCCTCGAAATTTTACCTGATCATTGAGAAATAGCACTTCTTTCTTTCCACTGGCACACGCCCTTATACCTTTGTGTTTTCCGACAACGTTATGGAAACGTCTTATGATTGACGTCCACCAAAATCTTCGTCGTGACAGAAGCAATAGCTAGAGGGCGCTTGTGATTACATGTAAGAATTAGCTTTAATGCATCTATGCGTGACTCAATCTGACGGATCAAAATGGCTTCCCAACCTGTAGGTACAGGTTTGAAGTTGGTGATGGGTTTTGTACGGTCCCTTTTTCCCTTGGTGCCCCGTATTACCACAGATCAACTGGAAATAATGATGGCAAACAAAAATGTATCGCGTAGACTAGTTATATTGGTAAGTTTTTTTACAGGGAAAGATGTGAAAGGCGAGCGCGGTTTACGTATCGAGCTAAATCATAGTTAATAAATTAACTATTTACTATGGCTAAATGAACCCTCATCTACGTCCTAATTGGAACAGATTAATTTTCTATATTAAGGTTTACATCAAGAAAATGACAACGAAAAAGATCGGCAATGTTACCCTGGCTCCAGAGGCTCTTCTTTCAGAAAGTTTTATGAGATCTGGCACAGCCCGACTGTAACTCTGATCATAAATAAATAAATAAGTACCGTGTATAAATTAATGATTTTGTTTGTTAAATAATTGAGCTGCTCTCGATGATCATAATTCATAACCTAACAAAAAAGTTACTGCAACAATTAGTTTTTACGAAATGTTGGCAGTGTAACTTTACGGTATATCAGGGTACATATGATGAAGCGACAAATAATTAGTTGGTCTATAGCCTGCGACAAGCTAGCAAAAACCATAATAAACACTTTTAATCGTTAAAAACTTACGTATGTATATTGGGAGCTTTTATATGTCACAGTGAGTGCCGAGAAGACTTTTTGTAACGCGAATTAATATCACTGAGTATATTAAAGTTTTTCATCAAGAAGTGAAGCTTATTTTAGCATCTTTTCAAAACGTATATTTGCATTAACTGACATAATGTCCTCCCATACTTACACAGCTTAAATCCAATAAATTTTATATTAAAATTTTTTGCTGCATAAAAGATTTTACTTTGATGGGATTTAGACGATCAGAACTGTATTTTTTGTATCAATAATCAGAATAATCAAAATAATGCGAAGCAGGCAACTTGCAATCCCTTCTAGTATAGCAGTCTCTTGTATATCAATATCACGTCTGTTCTCAGGCCCTTCACTAGGACCTTGAATGCGGTTCGTTTTTCTACCAATCTTAGTTATTCCATTTCTTCTTGACATTTTATTGCACTGTTGGACGTGATTGCATTTTTGCAGTGTTGGAGGGGGAGGGGGGCTCTTTCGAACCATCCCTAGCGACTGGCTTGGTTCTAGTCAAGATAGCACAGACAAAATTAAAAGCATCAAAATAAAAACTATTTTAACTTTATTTTATGAATTAAGTGTTTGCGCTCCACTGTTTCAAACTGTCATTGCTATTGTAGGACACCAGAGAGCCTGAAGAAATCCAAGTTAGTCGTCTACCAAACTCTATCCCAGTTAACCCCAGCTTGAAGGATATGTCTGAGTTACTGTCAGTCATCAACAAAGCAAAAGGTCAGATGACTGATCCAAGACACATAACTTAATCAAACAGAATGGTCTATGAGTCAATAGCCCCCTCCCTTCCCCTGACAAATGAGTTCTTGAGGTGACTAGAAAACTCTATTATAACACATAGAATTGTGGCAGTTGTACCGTTTCCCACTCATATTATCCATGATATCAGGCACTTTTTTTCTCATTTTAGGCCATTATACATATCACTTTAGAATGAAATTTGTTTGAGAATGTATTTACTTATGCATTCTGGTAAACGGTGCAAAAAGGGAAATACCGAAGATGTAAAACAGAGATCACTGGAGGCAGATTTTCAAACAGTTATGCCTTTATATATTCAGAAAATATAACAAATATTCACTCCAACTTTAAAGGTGGTCCTGAAGAACAAACAACCGTTGTGATGTACTGTGCCGTTGGTTATCGGGCGAGCATTTTGACACAGAGATTGATGAAAGAATTAGCAAAACCAGAAAACAAAGAAACAAGAAGTAACATAACGGCATGCAACTTGGAAGGCTCTATTTTCAAATGGGCAAATGAAGGCAAGGATATGGTTGATGGTAAAGAAGGCAAAAGAACCAAAATGGTGCATGGAGTTGATCGCAAGTGGGGAAAACTACTCTTTCCTGATATAGTTAGCAAATGATACCACTTCTAAATATTTTTTCAAATGTAAGATGTCCTTTATTGTTAGCATAAGCATCTAGGTAGCCCATGCATGTTACTTGATGAGCTAACTCATTTAAAAATTAACTTTTGCTTATATTAAAAGATATTTCCAGTTCTGGCTGAGTCACTTGGCAGAGTCATTGACTTGCATATAATAGAAAATAAATAAGCATCCATAGTTTCCTTAGATCTATATGTAACATCTTAATCCATTTTAAATACAAATAACTGGCGTATTTGTTATATAGCATGTAGTTTAGTGATCATCACATTCAAGCATTCAAAATCTTCCTTATAAAATATGCATGCCATTCAACATCATCAGTTAGTTCTGGATGAAATGCAGTTGCCATTAAGTTGTCTTGTGCAACTGCCACAATGACGGGTCTCTCACAAGAAGGTATCTTAACAGTTGCCAGTATCTGAACTTCTTTACTATCTATAGATAGGACAGCTGGTGCTCGTATGAATACTCCATGAATGCCTTTACAGGTGGATTTATAGACTGTAGAATTCAAGATGCTTTCTTGCACACTTTTGTCTTTTATGTCTAACACGGCTTCAAAACTATTTAACTGACGACCAAAGAAGTTTCTTGATGTTGTAATGTCTAGGCCACCAATCTGGAATTTCAAACAATTTTTAATCAAAATCATTCAGCACGAGCATTGCATGTACACATCATTCTATTCAAACAAGTTCTTTATGACTGTTTATCTTTTATTGAATAGGGAAATCATGCGAGAAAAAATGGGGGTTCTTGACATTTTTGGTGACCCTGCAAAGTGGGGTCTCAAAATAAAAAAGTGGGTCCTTTTAAATGTTGGAAATAAACAGGGGGTCCTGAAATAATGGACATACCAATGGGGAGTTCTAGAAAAAAGGTTTTATTTTCCTCGCCCTTTCCTCTCCTTCCCAAGCCCCCACCCCCACAAAAGCCTAATCACAAGCAAGCTAGATTGAATTTGATTTCTGAATCATTCGACTGATCACGCCAGCTTTACATAGAAGCTAAGATTGAGACCAAGGGGTATTCTGGGAAATGACCCAAATCCTCTGATGCATTCATTCAGAGATACATGCATAGTCAATGCATGTGAAAAGTCATTAAGTCATTCTAGATAGAATCCATTCTATGACTTCTTCCACTCCAAATTCAAGAACATGTTTGAAGAACATTGATACCATATTAGCAACCATTTGCTAAAGTTGGTCAGTGCATGGGGGTGCATGCTTAAAGGCTCTCATAGAACTCTTGCTTTCTGTTGCAGAACAGATATAACATTCTCTTGACCTCATAAGAGTGTTATAAGTGTTATGGTAGAGCAAGTAAGAGGTTTATATCTGTTCCAGTTCAATATGGATCTATAACCTGGTTTATAGATACCATCGCATGATAATGATGGATACACCCGATTGGCAGTGCACCCTAATGAATAGTAATGAAGAAATAGAAAACGCGCGCACGTGCTGTGTTCTGTCATAAAGCACATGGGGGTTGGCAGAACACAAGAGAAGTGTTAGGAGAAGCACGATGCGTAGCAGACACTTCTCGAGTGTTCTGCCAATCCCCAAGTGCTTTATGACTGCACACAGCACAGCAAGTTTTTTATTTCTTTTATAAAATACAAATTACAATAATAGATAGGAATGACGCAATGGAAAGTGTGCGCGCGTGCAATGTGCTCTCATAAAGCACACGCTCCAAACCAATCAGAACACGACATTCATAACAGTTATTTTATAATGAGTTTTAGAACTTAATTTGGCTCATATCTATATATCCAACGATACAACACGGCCTCTCATTTAATAAATGCTACATATTCCATATGATGTATCACTAGATGCTAGATACATCTAACACATTTTCCATGTACCATACAAGATGGTCTCAGCTTTATGTTCTATTGCTTTGAATCTAACAAAAAATGTGTAAATGAGTGTATAAGTATGTAAATTTGTATAAGTAGGGAAATGAAAAATATCTTAATAAAAGGTAGATCCACCAAAGATTCAGCCATGAAGACTATTTACCTTGGCCTGGCCTCCTTCCTTTTGTCCTGCAATCTGGTTTGACATTAGAATCAATCCAGCACAAGTGCCCCACACTACTCTTGGTTTGGTTTTATCATTCATCCAATCCTTAAGAACACTATCTAGGCCACTTGATTCGAGAAAAATACTCATCGTCGTACTTTCTCCCCCAGGTAATATAAGACCATCGAGCTCTTGTAAGTCTTCTTCTTCTCTTACTTCGACAATTTGTACTTCAATATCATTCTTAAACTTGTGGTTTTTCAAAGCCTTTAGCAATGCTGCTTTATGTTCAAAGAATCCTCCCTGTATAGCAAGTACACCGACTTTTAGGTTAACTGGATCTTTGTCATTCGCCATGCCGTTAAATAGAGAAAGCACTAAAAAGACAAGTTGAAAGTGGTTTTATAAATATCTTGGCAACAACAGGGTTGCGGAAATATTTATCGTTGTTCCGAAATTATTTGAGCTTATCTGCCAGGTAACCAATTCGATTAATTGTATCGCAGGCAATAACAAGCAGCATAAACAAGGTCGCTGAATCTTCTTTCGAAAGCAATGCACTTGGCAGACTTGGTATACATAGAGGTACGATTTAAAAAATTGGTAATAAAAGTTTCTCGACTTGTTGTTCGTACCTTTTTGTTGCGCAGCGTCCTACTATCACGTACTATCACGCACGTGTTATGGTCAGGCGCCCGCACAGGGACTGATGCAATAACATTCTATTAGCACCAAGTTTGAATTTTTTCAAAGGAATTTTATGAAAAAATAAAGATAAAAATTTTGATTCTATATATATTACTTTTATTGTTATCTATGTCAAAACACTTTTCATTTTTTCGATGTTTTAATCCTGGTATGAAGAAAATAACTATAAAAACATTGTCGTTGGTTTGGCTGTGTTTTGAGTGGTTGCATAACACTCATCACGTGGCCTGTATGTAGTGACTGCAGTAGTAATCATCATTCATTCATTTATATCTAGAAGTTGACTCTTTAAGGTATATATTTATCTCAACATGGCTAACACTAACCCTGTTGAAATAAGAAACGGAGTAACAAATGGTAAGTAAGATCTCTTTAGAATGGGATGATTCGTGTCTATCCAGTTTAAAGATACCTTGGGCTTTTAATTTTTAGGGTTACATAATTTAGAATGCTAAAGTATGGAAAATATGGARGCCACCATCCATGCTAAAACAGCTACACGTACTTGCATCAAAATCGTTATTAAGTTACATGTACGATGATATACTTTTTATAAATTATTTTTCATTTAGAAGTGAGTAACTTATCCCTTCATCAAGACAAACAAGATTCTTCAGTACTTTCTCTATATCAACATAAAACAGGTATGTGGTATGAATAATCTTTTGTTTTAACAGCACCAATAAACGGTGTAAGGCTAAAGAAATGAATAGCATGTGCACCAATGTTGAATATATTTTTACTTTGTAAGGTGCCATTTACATGGGGAAAAGTGGTATGAATGCGAAAGATGGTGACCCTGTTACCCGGGACAACTTTTCCCAATGTGAACACTTTAACTCGCCTAACTGAGACAACTTCTTCATTTGAATATGCATATCTTCGAAACCAATAGTTATCCTAGATTATAGGGACAACTTCTTTACATGCCAATGCTCAGTATAGTAATGGCTTGAATAGGAGGGTGTCCCGGCTACCAGGGACAATTTTTGTCCATGTAAACAACCCCTAAGATGGAGAAGATGGTATAGGGCTGTTGCCCAAAATGACCCTTACTTGGTCATTGTAATGATGTATTGTTCCCATATGTACATCAGTTGCTTTATTTCTATCCAAGGTTATAGCATTTGCTCTGATGTCACCTATTGAATATATTAATGTGGGCAACCAGAGATCTATTGGCTTCTTTGAAATAGCGATCATTTGTTTTAATAGTTGACAAATTTGAATGAGAAAAGATTCCTGATCTCAATGTTTGTAAACAATGAATATCGCTACACACCAAATTGATATTTATGGATCTGGCTTCTGATTGGATGATTAAAAAAATGTTTAAAAAAACGTGAAGTGTTCATGGTTCAAGTGTCAAGACTCCTAATAATAATAATAATAATAATAATAATAATAAACTTTGTTTATAGAGGATAACACTTGATAGTAATTCAACTGATAAACTTGTGGTCCTCTCTAGTTAATTAGGGACGGGACCGCCATTATTGTGATCATCCGAGCCACGTGAAGGTCTAACCACTTGCTGATGTAATTACAAAGGCAGCACTTTCTCCTCAGTTATTTTAAGACCCTGAGTGTTGGTCCGGCCAAGGCTTGAACCATGACCTCCTGCACAACAGACCGACGCTCTTACCAACTGACCTAGCCAGGTGGCGGTTTAATACCATGAACAAATGGAGCAACTTTTCCTTTTCTGTGCATGGTCAAGATCATATAACAAGAGTACCATACAATAGACATAATATATCTACTAAACCTGATATTTATGATCTATTAAAAACAGTGATAAGCACAATACTGTGATACGCGCCCTATCGTGAACACTTCTTCAAGATTTTGATTTCTTTTTGATATCTTTTGACAAGTTTTAATCCTGCTATTTACCGCTTACAGGGACTGTGGAGTTGGGATTGCTACATCCCCCCAATGATATTTTGCTGCCATATTTTAAATTACTTGTTTACATTTAAAATATCAATAGCCAATGCAATAATTATGTTGTAAATACCACTCAAAACACTAGAAACTGCACTTCCAAGGGTCTCGGTTGAATTTTTTTTTTTTTTTTTGTGGGTTTCTGCCTTCGGCAGTCGTTAGCCCAAAATTAGTTTCCCCAGTCTCTGACCGATTTAGGTTGTTGGCACTTCACTTTGATGTTTAAATACTGTTGCAATGATGCACAATCTCATAGCTAATATTAAACATATTTTAAAAGCCTCCAAGTTTTTGATATGTTTTTGACTTTTCAACGTTTTGATTGTGCTTTTTATAGCTAAACAATATTGGATAGCGATAAAGAGCACAATCCTCAAAAGGTCAAAAAGATATCAAAAACTTGGAGGCTTTTAAAATATGTTTAATATTGACTGTGTATATCAAATGAATACATACCTTTTCATCTCTGTACTGAACCTGACGATGATTTTGCAATTGAGCGTATGAGTTGAATTTTTTTTTTTATACAGGTACATTTAAAGTCAAGTCAGGACTTGCTCAGATGGCTAAAGGAGGGATTATTATGGATGTGACAACAGCAGAAGAAGCAAAAGTAGCAGAGAATGCTGGGGTAGATGCACATAACTCTCATTTAACAATTAACATGAATAAACCAAAGGACACTTTTTAATGGGTTGCCTGTGGTAACCCAGCCATAAAATACCTTTAGTCTTTTTCCTTTTTCCTCTGTGACAAAATGGAAATTGTACAAATAGTACCCAGGTGTTTTCAGAATTTTTGAAGACTTCTGCTATAGGGTTCCTTCTTATAGTCTAATCTATGAGCATGTGTCAGCTGTCAATCAATGTCACCATTTTGTCAACTGATTAAGAGAGGGGGAGCTAGCTGATCATGTGACAGGATTTAATGTCTATGCATGCCCTATATTTAGTTGACTACTAACTGTGATTCAAGAACAGTGAAACAAGAAATATTAATTTACTCAGAAACATGAGTTTCTAATTGAGGATTTCTAAGAATTTTTGAGTGTCATGTCTAATAGATTATTGTGATTGACTTGTCATGCTTTGATTTGGCTACTGAAAGCAGTATTTTCTATAGTGGAAAATCAGGGCTAAGGAATAAAACTATGCAATTCATGTGTACTACATAATAATACTGCCCACTTAATTTCCAAGCTATTGTGTCGGATTCTTGGCTTTACATTTTAAACTATTTTTGTAAGCCTATCTGATTTTTATGCTACGTACAGTATATCTTAAATAATGTGAGTCTAAAAACTGCTACAAATTAACATGAGGTACACAAAAGTTTATTTGGTTTCTATTTCATTTTAACAAAAATAAAATGATGAATATTAATTTCTGTAAAAGCATGCTATATGAGCTTCAGATCGATTTCATATTATTCAGTGCTTGTTATTCACCTTCTAGCTGACTCATTATTAAGCTTAATGAGAATTTTTTTCAGAAAATGTCTTTTAATTTACAAATTTCGGTTAACAAAGGAAACTTTAAAGAGTCAAGCAATTCTGAGAAGAAGTCTTGTGCAAAGATTAGCCAGCTGTCTTATTATTTTAAATGAAGCTTGAAGTTTTACCCAAAATGGCTTTTATTTGCTATACAATATTTAGTAGCTCTATCACTATCTTTTTAGACGTAGCAACTTAGTTTCACTTTGCATTTAGCCTCTTACTAAGACTTGGGGTAACTTTCCCAGCCAAGTAACCCTGAGTCTACCCTGCCACCAGGGTCTAGTTAATATTAAAATTATTTTTTGTTGTTGGTATTTCTTGCAGGCATGTGCTGTTATGGCCTTGGAAAAAATCCCTGCTGATATTCGGCGAGAAGGAGGTGTTGCTAGAATGACAGACCCAAAGGTATCAATTTCAATCCAATTAGAATTTGATATATTTTAGATCAATTAAATTCTAAGCCATATATATATTGTTTTAATTACTGCCATTCAAGTGGGGGCTCTTAGTGGGGTAATGAAAACCTTTAAGCTTAAGTATTAACATTTTTGATTTTTTTAAAATTGAAAAAAATAAAGCTATAGTTAGTTGGGCAAAATTGAAAGGAGAACTTGTATGGTGTAGTATACTTTGTGAGTAATACTTTATTCTAACAATAATTCCTTATTTCCCACCCCAAAAAGTTGATAAAGGAAATCATTAATGCAGTCACAATTCCAGTCATGGCTAAAGCAAGGATTGGTCACTTTGCAGAGGCACAGATCCTTGAAGCCCTTGGTGTTGATATGGTTGATGAATCTGAAGGTAATGTCTACATAACAGTCGTAACTTAAACAATATCTTAAAATGTTCAAAACTAAATGTGGAATCATGAGTGCAGGGAGTTCTGTTTACTTGTTACAAGTTCAGTTTGTATAAATATAACATGTGAGTTAAGCGTTGTGTGCATAGGATATTGAATATAGTTGTAGTGTGTGCGAGTGAAGTGTCCCAATTAAGTGCAAAAATGCTAGAACAACTAGACACTTAAATAAAAGAGATTCCTGGTTTCCAATTTGGCCCACTGTCTCACACACACACACACTAAACTCTAAACTCATATGTTGATTTTTATGGAGGGAAGGAAACCGGAAAACCCAGAGAAAAACCCTTATAGCACAAGAGAGATCAACACTTCAAACCAGGGGTGGATCCAGGAGGTTTAGAAGGGGAATGACTATTACAAAGGTTTTACCAGGAATTTGAGGAAAAGGGGGGTGAGTATTCACCTATATTACCACCCCTGGATCTGCCCCTGCAAACAAACTCTACTCATGAGTTCAGCATGCAGTGCTCAAACCATCAACTCTGAAAATAAACTCAGTCATTTTTGGTGAGAGGACAATGCATTAAGAGCTTGCCACCCATTTATTGGCATACAACTATTAAATTATAAACAATCAAGATCTTTACCCTTTAAGATGGTGTCATGGACTACAAGAAACTCAATACTAACCTTTTTGTTGATGACAAGAATAATAATAAGAAGCACAAGTCATTCCAGCATTTCTTGAATCTTGGAATGACCTATTTTGTATCAACTATTGCCTATCACCTTTAGCTATGCCAACCTTTTTGAAATACCTGTATGTTGTACATGTTGGAAGTTGTGCACGAGTACTGCATGTTTCCTATTACATCAACTTAATTTTACAACCGTTAAGAATTTGCATGATTTGCATGAAACCATGAAACTTAAGTTATATTCAGTCAAATGTATGCAGTACATTGTAACAAACATAGGAGTGTAGAAAAAAGAATATCATTTTTTAATCACCAATAATTGTATAAAATGAAGAGCAACTAATTAACTCAAACAACAGGGGTCATAAATGACCTATTTATTGTCAGCTTTTGCATTTTTTTTGCATGTAACAAGTATCTTGCAGACACTTGCATCCTGCAGACTGATTAGCTTTTGTATTCCTGTTGTTTTATTGCAGTGTTAACTGCAGCAGATGAAGCCAATCACATTGACAAACACCAGTTTAAAGTGCCTTTTGTTTGTGGTGCAAGGGATTTAGGGGAAGCTCTCAGAAGAATTGCAGAAGGAGCAGCAATGATAAGAACAAAAGGGCAAGCTGGCACTGGTAACTATGTCAACAAGTTGTCTTTGTTATAGAATGCAATGAAATGCATGCAGCATGGTGAAAATATTAGACCCAATTTTAATTCAGCTGAAACTTTACTGGAATAACCCTTAAAGGTCTAATAGTCACTGGTGAAAGCTTTTTCCAGATATTCGGATGGGAAGTATTATGTAATTTCGTGAATTTTTATAGGAGTTTGTGACGTCATACACTCAACACTAAACATTGCTCCATACATTTCTTTGTATGTTGCAATCAAAATATCTTCTAGTTTTATACTCAGTATTGAAAAAAAAAATCCATAAAATGATTCTAACCACAAGTTATGTACGTTAAGTCCCTAAGCGGACCTTTGGGCTTAATAGAATTAAAGTAAAACATGAAGTTATTTACAAAGAAATGTATGAAGCGATGTTTAGTGTTGAGTGTATGACGTCACAGACACCTATAAAAATTCGTAAACACGTAATACTTCCCATTTACATTGGAATATAAAGAAAACACTTTAACCAATGATTATTAAACCCTTAAAAAATATCCCATTAAAGTTTCAGCTGAAATAAAGTTCCGAAGATTTTTGTGCTAGTCCCCCTTTAATGTTGAGACATTTTACCTTCATACATACATAGGAGTAATTGAAATTGGATTCATGCATTAAGGCTGTTGTAAGAAACTTTTGATTTTTTAAACTTATTACCTTAACTAACAGATATCTTAAAATCCAGGAGATGTATCTGAGGCTGTGCGTCATGCACGAACCATTCGTACACAGATCCGCCATGCACAAGGTCTAGACACAGCTGAACTCTACACTTATGCCAAAGAATTGCGGGTTCCTTTTGATTTACTTCAGCAAACAGCGAAGTTAGGACGTCTTCCTGTTGTCAACTTTGCAGCAGGTGGTTTAGGTAAACATAGCTTGTCCTGTAACGTGTTATTAGACGTGTGTAAATGAGTACCATTTGACATACGGTATGTTATATATTTTTCTTTCAGCCACTCCAGCTGATGCTAGTCTTCTGATGCAGCTTGGTGTAGATGGTGTATTTGTTGGATCTGGCATCTTTAAAAGTAGTGATCCACCAAAACGAGCCTGGGCGATGGCACAAGCCGTAACTCATTACAAGAATCCTAAGAAGCTTGCAGAGCTCAGTGAGAACCTCGGGGAGGCCATGTTTGGGCAGCCAGCATCGAAAGCTGTCAGCTTTAAGTAACAATAATCAGTAAATAAGTTTAAATCTTTTTAATTGATACATGGATCGAGTATTCGATGAATGCGCTTTAAATGAAATTAACTAACTACTTATCACGTTTGCATACTGTAGCTAATGAATACAAGCAGCTTCTTTATGGACGTAAAAACCTTTCAGTTTTCGTTTATTTATATGATCGTACTTTTCATTATCGTGCATTTGGTCGTTCTTTTACTTTTCCACTAAGTTTTGGAAATAAACTTTTTTGGTGAGTATGGAGAGATGGCATGAGATCTGTTTTTGTCCCATATCAGTATAAAGCTCTGCCATGGCTTTGTTGACTCGTGTCAACATGGAGAGAAGGTCTTCTTCGTGTGAGTAGGCCAAAAACACATCAACAAGGCACGCAATAAACCACGAACCCATCGATACATTTTCATAAGAAGCGTCGTACACATCGCAACCGGGATGCATGTAACGTCTATACGAGCATTTTTCTTTGGTGGTTGAGTAGGCAATCAAGAAATCCGAGTCGGAAGGCATCTTGACGGGAAGCTGTTCTTCGCTTTCGCTGTCGGATTCCAYTTCGTTGGGTCCCCTAGGAACATTAAAGCCATCATCTTCATCATCTCCTCGACATGCTTGGATGAAAAACAGCTTGGGTTTAGTAGCAAACTGAGGGCATTGGTTACCTCGAAAGAGAGCTGTGATATCATCAACCTTGATGTACTTGTTATCTGCTGTTTCTACTCCTTTGCTGCTGCCATGACTCATGATGAAACACATGAGTCCATCGTGTCTGACTGAAATTACACATCATACGTCATTAGAAGTAAAACTGAATAATTAGACACTTCCTGTTAAAAAAAAACATGATACTGCACGGTTCCTCCCACCCCTCCCCCTCCATCAATCCATTTACGTTGGAGCTAGAAAAGGCTTCAAGATATTAGTTACCTAGAGTGGACTCCCATTGCTCACAGCAAACCGCGAATTCAATTTTCAGTTATATTTTACTTACTTAGATTGATATTCTTTTGTGCGTCTTGGAATATTTTCAGCATGTCATCCTTCTTTACATCAAAGTAACATTTCACTGTGTTGAATTGAGCCATCTTCAGAAATTTTCTCAGGTTCTTTGTATCAGCTTCGGCGCCATTTCTTGGAGCAGGCCTCTTCTTAAAGTTAACGTTATTAATCAAAATTACATAGGGATCTTTTAGACCATCGTAAACCTGTTCCAAAAATGAAGGCTGTTTGATCAAGGGTTTCTTGTCTTTTATCCTCGCAGCAACAGAAGGGGTTTGAATGTCAGCCATCGTAAAAGCACCTTCCCCTGTTATGTCAACAAGCACGTCTTCTTTTGACTTAGCGAATGAGTCTTTTTCGTCGCCGTTCATTGAGGCTGAAATGTAAAAAATAAATTTGGTCAATTAGGATGACAAAAGTCTATTACGACCTGACCGAGTGTGCGACTTTCAATACGAACTTTCCCTTTCAATTCATATTCCGCGTGATGCTTCATATAGTGTTAATCTACTAGCCTAACACAGACACTTCATTGCAAGTATAAAGAAGAGTATAAACAGAAATTTTCTAACCTTTTTCTATCCTCTTCAAGGAAAAGTAAAAATTTGGATCTCCGTTAATTTCCGTTCCTCTATTTTCCATTGGTGTATCGGCTATGCTGGATATATCCTCAGTCGGCGCACATTCACACCTTTTCCCGCCAAAATTATTACAGTGACAGGCCAACACTCGTTCATAAGCTCTTTGGTCTTCGTTGATACGCTCAAGGAGGAAGGCCTTGCAAAATTCCTTTGCCACTTTGTTGCTCTCCTTTCGATCCATTCTCGTATCTCAATGTGGTAGCTTTTAAAGCACTAAACATCTTTTAAAGCTCTGTTTCAGCTTCACTTTCGAACTTATCCAACATCCGCTGTGACGTCATAATAGTAGGTTTAATTTCCGTTAAGTGCCATCAAGTCTATGAACCATATCTAGTAGAGTTTGGACAAAAAAATGTAGATGTTTATTTTACACTGTATAACAGGAATAGATGAGACGTTGAAAAGGTTTTGACTAAATGAAGTAGAGTAATATGTAGTGTGATTGTCGATAGCATGTAGGCAGGATTCACCATCCTGAAGACTTCCTTCCGTCATGATCAACAAGGCTGCAGCAGAATGAAATTATAATTAGCATTGCCGCTGAACTGAGTTTTGTTATTATTTTGACCATAGTTCGCTGTCATTATATGCTTTTAAAATATCAAGTTTTGCTTCCAAATCGTCTCCAAATACAAACGCTTCCTTTGCACTCCGCCAGTCGCTTTGTACTTGACGTGTCTTTTGCGGCCCTTCCTCCCCTCCCTATCCTAGGTTTCGCCGCCAACCTCAAGCGACCGGCATAATGCCCATACCCAGAGGAGATACCTTAGGCCATACGAGTGGAAGGAAGACCACTGAGTACAGATTACTATGTTTTGTCCACGCTGTATGCTGATTATAACTATTCAAACCACGATTACAGTCAAAACAGCTCATGTTCCTCATCATGGTTCAAAGATCCATTTCATAGTATTCGAAGTTTGATTTCCATCCTCCTTTGAAGCCTGCATGATATATGGAAACGAACGTTGCGAATTTGAATTCTGAGCTCGGATATTTAGTTCTTCACAGATTCATGCAAAGCTGCAATTATTTCGACAATCGTAGGTACCATTTTAAAGTTATTATTTTGGTGTGCAGTTTTGTTCCTTTCACAAATGAACATTTTGATGTTTTGAAGCAAAGACCGGGATTGAAACAAAGAAAGTTCCTTTCATTAATGTAAGCTTCAAAGCAAGAAGGAAATCAAACTTCCAATAATAAAATGAATCTTTGAACCTTGATAGGAATGCATGAGCTGGTTTGACTGTAAGAAAATAATAAAACTGCTCGCCTGTCGCTTCGTTCCTCCGTTAGCCCATCATGATAAGTCTGGCTCACCTCCAGGCCGTTTGGAAGGGTAAGGATAGGGTAGAAAACACTCCATTCACATCAATATATATACTGGATCTATATCAAAAAGTATCAGTTAATACAAGAAGTCTCTAGTTTCTACTGACGGTCCTGAAGGGGTAAAATGTGAGCTGGGTTCGCCTTTTTTGGCAGGGCTGGGAAAATGAGATCTTGTGCACTGGGAGTTAGATTCTCAAACAAATAAAAAAACACAAACAAAAGCAAAACAGGCTGGGACTATGGAATTTGGTCAAAACATAGTTAATAGGGGAGAAGGCCGTAAGGTTAGGTAATAGAGGGGAATGACTTCAGAACCCTCTTTCTACTCAGTTAATTTTAACTTTTGGACACACGTTTTGTGTGTAAAGTGCTTATGACTCAGTATACGTAATTATGTTGCAATAATAGTCATTCTTACTGAGAAATACGTATTATTCGAAAGAAACCTTTTGATTCTGACTTTCAAAATCGGACTTTTTTTGGATAATGAATCAAAACAATTTTCAAACTTTTAAAAATTCTTCCAATTAAAAATAAATGGACTCTTTTACGACAAGTATGTGGCTAACATTAAAGTTGCCGATAAAGTCTGAAGATATATCACTACCGTTTCCTTTAAGTGTTTGCTTATTTTATTATCAACTCAAGGTATGACAAACAGATTAACGCACCCCTGCCAGCATTGTTCGTAACATAAGGGCGTGACGATAAACTTATGCACATCAGTAATTCAACGATTTTGTTTGAGTTACTTGGATTTAAATACAAAACCAAAATATCTTACAATGAGAACCAATTAGAAAACAACCTGCAAAATCAGACACCATCCTTGGGTATTATTTTGAAAGGCCACAGTTTTCAATTGTTGCGGTAGGCTGCATTGTCATCAAACAATTATATGCAGCGTATTCACCGAACCCATTCATTTCTTCATTCCGACAATAGCTTACGGGTCCTAGCGGTCAGAGTGAAGCCGTGTTATCTACTCCCCTGACAGATTTTAATACGAGGGATCAGTCCACGAATCAAATTGCAGAAGGACAATTATGGTTTGATCTCGACTGAGGGTTGAATGAAACCGCGCATACAACAAATATTGTTTATGTCCGGCCTACCGCAGTATACCGTAGCGTATTTTTGCTTCGCAGGTGACTTGGCCGATAATATTCAGTTTGGATCATTCTAATGTTATTCTTTTCGTCGTATTATTGCGCACATACTAATGTTTCATAAACAAGGTTTGTGGATGAAGAAAAACGCCCGTGAATTAAGAACCAACTTATAAATCATGGATTCGTATGAGTGAGAGGGAACCAATTGGGAATATCCGAACTTAAATTATTTCTAAATTAGGAACTACAGCTGGATCGAGAAAATGGCGGAAGCCGGGAATGGTGAGCAAACGGTTGACCAAGAAATAGTCACCGAGAAAACCGAGATATTGGACAAATGGCTGTTAGCATTGAAGGAAGACCTAGCATCTTGGATTAGTCGATTACTAAGCATCGAATTGACAGTTGATTCCTTCACAAGCGTACTCGATACCGGAGTTGTTCTGTGCAGACTTGCTAACTTCATTCAAAATACAGGAGATAAATTCTTCATTAATAACTCAGGTTGTGTACGGCAGGGTATCTTTCCTCCGTGTGGTCTAACATTCAAGGAAAGAGAAGCTTCCCAAGGATCTTTTATTGCTAGAGATAATGTGTGTAATTTTATTCGCTGGTGTCGAGAGCTCGGTGTCCCCGATGTAATCATGTTTGAGACCGAGGATCTAGTTTCAAATAAAAACGAGAAAGCTGTTTTATTGACTCTCCTGGAAGTAGCAAGAAAGGTATTTAAATTTGGCGTAGATCCTCCAGAATTAGTGAGACTAGAGAATGAGATTGATAAAGAGCTAGAAAACGAATCCGAGCCAACTCCATCGATTAAAATAGAAAAAGTGACAGCATTGAAGAAAAAACACAAGTCTCACAGCCTAGACGATTTGGTAAGTGAAAACCCCTTTAGTTGTAAATTACACTACAATAAAGATGTACATGCATTTACTTTTCTGACATCAAAAGAAGAAGAAAACGGCCAAAGGTTATAGTTTCTACTTTGTAGCGGAAACGCTTTTCTTTTACCGATAAACACAAATTATTCTAATCAGATAGCATCATTCAGAATAATTTTTCTATGTCTCGTAGAAGATCCTTTGCTACTTATGAGCCGCCTCGTATATATTTGCATTCATATGATCGGATACTTGGGAAAAAACATTACATTTATTATTCTGATTGAAATTAAACTTTTTGGGGTTAGCTTTGCGTACAAACTAAATGTTCGATTTTCGTGTGAGTGTTTGATAAAAATATATCAACTGATCTCGACGTTATAATGGAATTAAATAACCTATGGATTGACACACGTGGGTGGATGAAGTTTATGGTCATGTCTGTTCACTCGATCAAAACTTGCACGCATTCTATTCGGAGCTCTGGCGTTCTGTATTTTACACACATGCACAACATGGTTTCTTGTAATTTAATCGTTGAAAATTTGTCGGAATTCGAACCTAGGTCAGTCGATCAGATTAGAAACGACAGCTTGTAATCTTAGTTACCGTTCACTGTTCATTCGATCTTGCATCCCATTCGTTCTTTTCATTAAATGCTTCATTGCATGTCTAATATTTTATAAACAAGACCTTAAAGCTTTAGAGAAATCAAAACATATTTATTATATTTGAACTCGTAAAAATGTCACCCACTTAGATGAAATCGCATATTAGATCAGCCAGATGTAAATCACAGCATACATTTCAAACCTTCGAGTGCTCGGCGTTCTTAGCTTTTTGCGTTGAGGAATCTGACTTTTTTTTAGACCGAAATAAAGATTACAATTTTTGTTTTGTTTCATGATCATAAATGTTGTGGGTAATGTACATACCGATTTTCTACATCATATTTTAAAACCTGATTATAAACAAGCTTTAATTAAATTAGCTGCACGTGCATTCATTAATGACGGACCATAAAGGACAACATTGAGTGATTCAAGATTACTGTTTATAGTAGCCAATGACGTGAACGGATATTACTTTTTCTTGCATTCATCATATTTGGACAAAACACTTTTTTAGCTATTCAGTTTTTCTTACTTCAAGGAATAGCTATCAAAAATGGCTGACTTATTGAGGAATAACTTGGCTTCATTGATATAAAATGGGAAAACAATGGGAAAGGAACGTTGGCATATATTTCATAGTTAAACTGATTCATGTGGAATTTGACTAACGTCTCAATATATTACAATATAGCAGTTTATTAAATCAACAAGAATGAAATGACAGTCTGTCTTCACTTTAGTATGACTCACTGACACTGAACAGTTATTCAAGAATAGATGAACAAGCTGCCAGCAGCTGGTTTCTTCAACAACTAGTGGCTGGCTCGGAATGTTCAACAATCAATCAATCAATCAATCAACCTTTATTAATGTGTCATTGTATTTAGTCTCAAAGACTAATTGGGGACACAACACCAAAACAACTATCTTTATGCTAACAGAACTGTAGTAAATAGTAAAATGTTTCATTCACTTGTGTTCACCTTGCTGATTGGACATTTTACTTATATGATAAAGCTAATGTAGCCCATTCGGTGATTCATTCCATCATGATAATAAAAGATGCCTCAGCTCTCCAATATCAATTGTGTAAAGAAAGCCAATATAGGGCGTTCGTGTAAATGGGGTCACAAGGCTATCTACCCAACCATCATCGGTGCGTCATGATCGTCGACTGGCCGAATGGAAGTCGACCAACTTCCTCTTCGATATAATCTCTTATATAATATCATTTTGTAGTCAGTGTTAAAATAGAAAATGTAATAATACGTAATGACTGGATCTTATGGTAGACTGATTCCATAAGTCTGTCCAGTTCTCTCTCTTTATGCAATCAGTCTAAATCTTATGGCACATACTAGATAACGCTATAGTTTTCTCTTTATGCGATCAGTCTAAATCTTATGGCACATACCAGATAACGCTATTGTTTTCTCTTTATGCGATCAGTCTAAATCTTATGGCATGCCGTTATAACACTAGTTTTGTTGTATTATATTATAAACGTTCATTCATTATCATATTCCTCTGTTGCCAGGTTTTTGAAGTTCAGAAGAAATGTCAATGTACGACAAGGTACCCAGTTCAAAGGATCTCTGAAGGAAAATACAGGATGGGTGAGAGTAAGAACCTCATTTTCGTCAGGGTAAGTCAACCGTGGTTACCTTGGTAACCCATCATGCACATTTAATTACCATGGATACTTAAGTACATATATATATACATATAAACGAAAGAAGACGACACGTTTCGTTTTCATCTCGACAACATGAACAGCAACTATCATTTGCCATTATTTCTAACTGTTTTGATGATGATGACGAGATGAAAACAAAACGACGTCTTCTTTCATTAGCTCTCATATATAGTATGCATGGCTTTTCCTTCTTTGTTGGTAGGTGATGCGTAAACACGTGATGGTTCGTGTCGGAGGTGGATGGGACACTCTAGATCGATATTTTGAGAAGCACGATCCATGTAGAATCATAGGTAAGGCAGTCAGGTCATGTTATATAAAGATTTTTATGCTATAACATGATCCTTTTCTGGTGAGCTCTTGCCACCCGCGCGTGTATTCAAAATTTGTATTTGATAAAAGGAATGGAGATATGCAGAACACTCGAGAAGCAAAAAGCAACACTCTATTAAACTCTCTTGAGAGTTAAAAGACATTTCTTGTATTTTCATACCATATTTTTCCAGCTCACAGAAAAACTTCGAGACCAAGCCGTCCTTCATCAGCACACCAACAGCAGACACATGAGCTACTCGTTCGCTCACCCAGTTCTATGAGCACAGCCAGTGTGTCCAGCACAGAAAGTTATGACTCCACTAGTACTGCATACTCCCAAATGAGTGTCAGTTCAACACCACCCCGACAGGTAAGCAGCAATCCACTTGGGGTGGGGTGGGGTGGGGAAAAGAAACTCTCCGCAGTCCCCAGTCGCCTCTCTTCTTTATGTTCCCAGAGATTATAAAGTATAAAGTATGATTATAAAGTATGAAATAAAAATAATTTCCATGAAATAGCATATATGTTAAGGTCATTTACCCATTTTACAAGAAATGTCTACCATGCATTCATAGTTTCAAATTTTAAAAAATCAAACAATGCGAAATATAATAAATAACTGGTTAGTTCTATCATTAAAAAATTTAATTTTTAATTTTTTTATTTCTTAACTCGAAATAATTTTAACAGTTATGAGAGCCCGTTGATAAATTGACCAGTTGGAGACGATAGGATCAATAACATCAATTATTGACACTATGTGCTTATCCAAATGTCTCCGTGGCGCAATCGGTTAGCGCGTTCGGCTGTTAACCGAAAGGTTGGTGGTTCAAGCCCACCCGGGGACGTTCCCTTTTTCTTTTTTTATAAAATGTGTATGTGGTTTTTTTTATTATTATTAATTGAAAATTTCAATCCCTTTAATTAAATTTCTAGGTGTTTAAAGAAATTTAGGGAAAATGTCAATGGTGCTTTTCGTGTCTAAATTTGATATATTCTTATTTTAAATAGTTATTCTATAATTTCATTAAAAAGATATAACTAGCTAAAAACTAGTGTGAGCTGCGTCGGTGTTTCTAATGAAACAGTAATGATGAAAAGGTAAATTATACACCGTGAAAAGATGAAAAAACTTACTGACGTTTCGGACGCTAGTCCTTCGTCGGAGTAAGAGAGAAAGAAGTCACTTCTTGCGGCTCTCAAATGGCTTCCTGTTCGAATAACTACGATGAAGGAAGCCATTTGAGTGTCTCCGTAGCTGGGCCATCGATCCATTCGGTATAATCGAATCTGAAAGGAATTTAATTTTTTTATATGGAGATACAACTTGTTGCTTTTTATAGTCTTGAATTTCTAGTTTTTTTTTTAAGAAAAAAAAAAGGCTAGACTGCGAGCCAAGTCCCTCTATTTCCCTTGATCACTGTCCGTCTGTCTGTCCGTGTCGATTGGTCGAGGAAGATTGGTTACGAGTCAAAGTCCCTGGGGAGGGGGCAGGGGGCTTGGAGGGAGGGACGAAATAATTTTTCTTTTTTTTTTTTTTTTTTTTTTTTTTTTTTTTTTTTTTTGCTTCAGCTCTGCTGGCAAACTTTGGGAAACCTCATAAATCACCACTCGAGCAATGGTGATCGTTTTGGGAATCACTGGTCGCTCCACCAATCACAGCACGCGAAACTCTATATTCAAGTCTATAACTATACTTGTTATTGATTTTACAGGCAGCAGTCACTAAGTGCGGACATTCTCCTCGCCAACGCACGTTATCTGGAGGAAGATCTAGTCCAACGTACGACAGGTGTTTATCCCCTACAAGAGGATCTCATACACGTCATAAATCACCATGCCAACGTAGTACACCACCACGTACAATAGAAGCACAGGGTAGACTTTCCAACAAGAGCATAAGTATGCAGGACCTAAAGGGAAGAGGTTCTGACTCTTCAGGGATGGTTACAAATATTCCGATCCCGACTAAACACAGGCCTTCTTCTGCACGGCGTTCAAGTGCGACCCCAGCAAATGAGTCTCCTGCTAAACCTGCACAAGGAATTCCTGGTCAGAGAAGGAAGAGTGTAGCAGTTTCTCCAAGAAAAGATTCGAGTGGTGCAGCAGTAAAGCAAAGACAGCAGAGTACAACACGTACCAACTATCGTGATAATTCCCAAGCCAGAATGCATAGTCGTAGCAGAAGCATGCAAGACTTAAACAAGTACAAACTTACTGGTCCATTAGACAACGATACTAGAAGCAATAAATCTCGTCCTACATCTGCACGAGCACGGTCTTCCTCGGGTGCTGCCGAACGGTCGGCCAATGCTGCCAGTCAACGTAAGACATCCACATCACAAGCAACTCGTAAGATGACCAACACCACTTCATGCAACAGCCCAAGAAGACGATCGCCACCAAATCAACAGAGTCCTGTGAACCACAGCCCTCGTATCCAACGTAGATCATCAAGTACTCCAAGGGGATCTACCTATAGTCCCTTAAGTAGCCCGCGTGTATCTCGCAGGCAGGTGTCCAGTCATTCACGAGAAATGCAGAAGACCGCAACAGTTAGTAGTCCAGGACCAATGATACGGGCAATCAGTAATTTGTCTTCCTCATCTTCCACATCATACAGGATGAAAAGAAGTGCGTCTTTTGATTCAAAAAATGATTTATCGTCACAAGCGCTCAACAAAGAACATCTAATGGGAAAATACAAAGGTAAGGATAATCAGATGTACACGGTACAGTGGGATATACACGGTACACTGGGATATACACGGTACAGTGGGATATACATGGTACACTGGGATATACATGGTACACTGGGATATACACGGTACACTGGGATATACACGGTACACTGGGATATACACGGTACACTGGGATATACATGGTACACTGGGATATACATGGTACACTGGGATATACACGGTACAGTGGGATATACATGGTACACTGGGATATACA